TTTTTTTTTTTTTGGTACTGGGGATCGAACTCGGGTCCTTGTGCTTGTGAGGCAGGCGACAAAACCACTGAGCTAAATCCCCCACCCTATGTTTTGTTTCTTGATTAAAGGTATGTTAAAATAGAATTTTGAAGGAATGAGCCCTTTGTTTCCTGTGCTTTGTTTTAATAAACAGTATATTCTTTGCTTGTGAATCCCACTTTCTCAATGCAAAGGGTTCTTGAAACTGGAAAGCAATTAATTAGCCTTCATAATAAATGTTCACTTGGGAGAGATGTTAACTCATTACAGACTCAGATTAGTCCAAGGCTTGGAGATCATTTTTCCTAATGTTTGCAACCCTGAAGTGCATCTTTAAAAGAATGAAAACACAAAAGAAAAAGCCATTGTGCCCAAGAATGTTGATGGTCTGGCACTTTGGGATTTTATTGATGTTTACACAGCAGTCTAACAGCAACCAGGCTTTGAAATGTATACAGACAGTGAATGAGTAAGAAAACAGTAATTATGCTACTGGGCTTTTCAGTCAGCAAGAGCATGCTTACTCTGTGTGTTCCTAATCATATTAATTATCTATCTGGTTGCTGCAGTCACTGCTTGGCATTTGCTGCACATCTCCAAGTAGCCAAGCAGGGTTGCAGTCAGCCTGCAGCTGCTGGCCCTGGTTTTTAATTCGTGCAAGTGCACCATACTGGGGCTCTGGAGCCAGAGAGCAGTGGCACCCGGTCTGTTTGGCCCTTGGCTGTCACTTTGGGGAGGAACCAGCCAGCCCTATACAGGATAGTTCCTGTGGTTGAGAAGAGACAGGGAGTCCCTCTGTGGACCGCTGATTGTAGAGACACCTTCCTCCTTACCATTCCCTAGTCTCAGGATGGGAATTGGGTTGCACTTGATTCTCTGGCTAGACCAAAATTTTTATGGAAGCTCTTTTCTATATGACCTTGCTTATAAACCATTGACTAGAAAATTATAGTCTTCAGTCCTGTTCTGGATTGACAAATTGTGGGTTGGAAATGATAATCTAACTTTCAGTCTGGTAACCGGTCTTTTATATCTACTACTCCCTGCATTTCCTCCTCTCCCCAGTATGCCTTGTCTACCCAGGGAGGAGGACTGACCAGCCAGAATGTGTCCAGAGAATGCTAGGCCACTCCCACACTTCCTCAGCGGCAGTGTGACAAAACCCACATATCTGCATGGATGGGATTAGAACTCCAGGGGGACTGGGAGGGAGGAGGGGCTCTCTTGAGGGAGAATGCTTAACAGATTTCCCTACTAAAAAATCACATCACCACCGGAGCAGCCTCAGAAATTGGCTCCACTGTTATGCTTTTAAGAGATTTAGGTCTCAGAGGGTTGCATAAGTAGATTCTGGCCCACAGTTCGTAGAATTCTCTTGGATATAGTTTACCTCGAAGGGCTGTTCATATTCTATTTCTCATCTTTCACTTAGAGATCAGTGTTTATTTTGTGTACACTATGACATCAACGTTAAGCAATTAGGGAAAAATCTAATCATTTGCCTGATTTTAAATGGTTCTTGAATTCCCTCCAGTCTCATTGTGAAAGAGTCAGAAAAAATAAAAAGGTAATAATCTGATTTCTGTCCATATTTTCAGTGTTTTATACTTTCCATTAAAGCCTTGCTAATCTCTAGTGTGCTGTTTTGACTTTTTTGAACTACAGGGTCAAAACCCTGTCCCCCTCCCTCACTTTTTTTTTCTGAGTGGCCTGTCTTCAAAAAGTATAAATAATATTGATCGTGGTATTTAATACACTAATGAAACCCATGGATATTGACTACATAATTAATAAACTGTCTAAAAGTGAAATTTGGCAGCCCAGCATATAAAGGTTGATATTGACTTATGTTTCTTCGGTGATATGCCTGCCAGATTTTATTTATAGAAAGTAAAACAGGTTGTTCAGCCCCCTTTACACTTGTTAGAAGGCCACTGCTCCCCTAGTAAATTGATTGTTTCCCCCTCTCAAACAGAGGTTAGGTTTGGTTTTATCCTCTACCTTGTTATATGGTTTGGTAGCTCTTTTGTCTTACATGGAAAATTATGACTTTTATAAACACCTTTGGAAATAATTTTTTTCTTAAGAATAGAGTTTAGATTTTTTTTTTTAAACCTGTAACCACATTTGTTTATTATTAAGCCGATGTTAAGTATTGTTAAAGAAAAAAATGGGAGGGGGACAGTTGGACCATTGATTGGATTTTTTTCCCCCTCAAGAGAATGCTGGGCTGCATCTCTACTTACTTATTTTTATTTATTGTGGTACTGGAGATTGTACTCAGGACCTTTGCATTAGACTACAACCCCAGCCCTCTTTTTTTTTTTTTTGGTACCGGGGATCGAACTCAGGACCTTGCACTTTTGAGGCAGGCGGCTGCACCACTGAGCTAAATCCCCGGCCCCCCCAGCCCTCTTTGAACCATGGTCTCATTAAGTTGCTCAGGCTAGACTTGAACTTTTGCTCCTCCTGCCTCAGCATCCTATCTGGGATTACAGCTGTGTGCCACCATGTCCAATTTCATTTTTATTTTTGAGACAGGGCCTTGCTAAGTTGCCCAGGCTGTCCTTGAACTTGCAGTGCTTCTGTCTCTGCCCTTCCAAGTAGTTGGGTTTACAGGTGTGTGCCACTGTACCCAGCATGGTGGTTATTTCTTATGTAAATAGTCCATGTTTATTTTAGGAAAATAACCTGCAGATAGGAATAACAATAATCAGGCTGGGGATTTAGCTCAGTGGTTTCGCCGCCTGCTGCACAAGCGCAAGGTCCCCAGTACCTAAAAAATAAAAAATAAAAAATAACGAGAATCAGCCAGGCGTGGTGGCTCATGCCTGTAATCTCAGCACTTGGGAGGCTGAGGCAGGATTCCCTTGGTTCAAGGCCATCCTGAACTCCGTGTCTCAAAAAAAAAAAACAAACCCAAAATAAAAGTAAAATAACTAGAATCACCCATAATCTCATCAATCAGCAATAACCACTTGTTTACTATTTGCTATGTATATATTTGTATAAGTACAGTTTTAATACAAAAAATGGAGGAGATACATATATATATGCTTAAGTAACAGGCACAAGATCTTTTGTTTGATCCCAGTACCATACACACACACAAAGCTATATATACCATTCTGTAACACTTTCTAGCACTATAGATTGGACATCTTTTCTATTTCAGTAACAGATCTGCATAATTTTAAGTGGTATTTGGCTATATGGATGTGTAAATTTATGGAAGCCAATCACTTGCCAGATGCTTTTGCCTTTTTAAGAATTGTTACCATAAACTTGGGTTCTGGTGAGCACAAGCACTTCTACTTTACACCACTGTGAAAGTATATGCCTCTACCTCTTGTTCTGCTAGGTTCTCTGATTGTTTTTCCATTTCCTTAGGTCAGTGACAACTCCCTAATCCTCTGCCATGGAGGGCTGCCAGGTAATTTGAGCAGACCCGTAGAAGCAGGTAGATTGATGGAAGGAGGACGGGAGAGGGAAGCTTTGAAGCCATCCATAGTATCCTGCCTACCCCATGAATGGCCACAAAAAGCCCTAGACCCTTGTTTTCTGCCAGTGTGGCAGAAATAGTCTCCCAGGAACACATTTGATTTGCTTTATAAACCTATTTCTCAAAAGCTATTAGTTGATAGTCCTTAAATCTTTTAATTATATTTTTTGTTAGAAGGTTTGATGAAGTCATTGAGAATAGCAAGCACCTGTTCTAGCCTCATTCTTGGTGATTTTTTCATTTTGTGGGGTTTGGTTTGGTTTTGTTTGGTGCTCAGGATCAAATCCAGGACCTTGCACCTGCTAAGCACACAATCATCACTGAGCTACCTCCCCTCTAGGTGGTACCTTGTTCCCAAGAACTGTGGTCTGTTTGGAGCAAGGCATGGACTAAGTAGTCCTATCACAGTGAAATTAAAATTCAGTAGATGGAGAGGTCACTGCAGACTGCAGTCATCAGCAAAGACAACAAAAAATTGAGTGATTTGGGACAAATTGTAGCTGTGGAAGAGCATGTGCCACACCTGGTCAGAGTCATACATTCTACATTTATCACTCATGAAGCTGTGTGGATGCCATGGAAGCTGGATAGGCTTCAAAGGGAGTTGGGTTCCCTGTGTGAATAGCTATAACCCCAGCCCCTTTTATTACTTATTAATTTACATCCTTATTTATGGTACTGGGGATTGAATCCAAGGCCTCTGCACCAAGCTACATCCCCAGCTCTTCATTTTTTGAGACAGGGTCTCACTGATTTGCTAAGTTGCCCAGGCTGGGCTTGACTGTGATCTTGCCCCACCTCCCAGGGTTCTGGTGTCGTGCTCCACCACGCCTGGCTTATTTTTTGCATTTTGAGACATGGCCCTCGCTAAGTTTCCCAGACTGGGCTCAAACTTGTAATCTTCCTGCCTCAGCCCCAGTAGTTAGAAGTACAAGCATGCACCACTGCATTCAGCTCAGAC